CACACACAACCTCACATACACACACACAACCTCACATACACACACACAACCTCACATACACACACACTCACATACACGCATATTCCATGGCGCGTTCAAGTATTATATTCGTACTTGTGTAATTCTGCAAACTGTTTCTCAGAGTTGGAAAGATTTTCTTGTTCTTTTCGCAAGTCTTCTTCAAGCTTCATTATTTCATTATTATGGGTCTCCTGAACCTCTAATTTCTCGTTGACTAGTAGACACACTGTGTCATCGTATTTGTCCATTATACTCCTGAAAATGAAATAACATTATATAGTTTTTGATTCCATTCATTTTTAACGTTTGCAATGTTAGTAAAAAATATTAATTTAAATTCGTGATACAATTTGGTTAAATATTTTATTATTGTATTTTTTATTTGTACTTTTTATTTGTTTACTTTCTCATATACATACGTATACGTATTTCTCATATACTAAATACGTATTTATGAAGTATAGAAGAAGGTAATGTGCGACAAAAAAGGCGATTTTTGAACACAGAAACTCTTGATACAGGAAAAGCAGATAAATCTTGTTCCAATATATAGTAAATTACTTGATCTAACACATTGTGTAGTCTGAATGTGGGTTCTTTACAGATAAAAAGATTTTTATTCAAAACGTCCGTCTGTCCGTCTTCTGTGAACAACACTACCACCCATTCGTACTTTTTGGAACTATTCATAGGCTTTTTCCAAAATGTATATTCTGCGAACGATTAGCCCCACTCAAAGGTCTGCGATTTTGATAAACATTTTTTTAAAATTTAGGGGTACTTCACATAAATCTCCTGGGACATTTTCGCAATTTTCTTATAAATGGCTCTAATTTTTTTCTTAAAACTTTTTAAGAATAGTGTGAAATACACTTAAAATGGCACAGGTCCCATTTTCATTGTTAACTCAATTTTCGAAAATTGCAAAAGCGTGAAATTTTTAGGTGTATTCCAACAACTACAAAATTAAAGTTAGAGATTATACTGCAAATGAGATCAGTTCTCCTTAATTACTCTTTTATAAAAGTGATTTGAATATTTTTTGAAAATTTTAGAATTTTCCACCTAATATTACGTAAAATATGTGCAATATTATAAAATAACAAAAACAAGTTTTCCCAAAAATGGCTCTAAATTTTTTCTTTGAACTGTTGATAGTGCTAAAAGTATTAGATAAATACTATTTTGCTATATTCTTTCGTGTTTTTAAAAAACATAAAAATGTAAATAACATAAATTTTTAAATTATCTCTTACATTCTTAATATGAATATCAGCATTGATTTGGTTACATTATTGAATTTATGAGTACATGTGCTTTACATGTTGCCTTGTAGTGAATTTCTATGAAAACGATAATTGGCTCGAACACTAGCCTGTTAGTTACGTATGCGCAGAATTTTTCCCATTCCCCCGTCGATCTAGCCTCGCCTAAATTTGTTCGATTTTGAAAAACATTAATTTAAGAGGTACTCTACATTAAGACCCTGGGACATTTCGACATTATCTCAAAAATGGTTCCAATTTTTTTCATTTCATGTAAATATAGTAATAGAGAGTTATAAACATGGTGTACGTTCCATTTTCACTGTTAACTCAAAATTTGAAAATTGCAAAATTAAAAAAAAATCGACATTTTTCCAACTACAAAACTGAAGGTGCAGTTCTTTTGCTATTTGTATGAATATGTGCAATATTAAAAAAATCCTTTTTCTTATTGAATGCATTTTCTGTTGTATTTGGTTGGTAATAATGTCTTGGAAAGCTATTACAAATCCTGTGATTTCTCCAAAATAGACCTCTTCTTAAGCCAAAGATTTGTACCTTTTCGATCAACACTATCATTTTCTACCTGGTTAACTAATGTTTCATGTAGTGCTTTTGATATACTTTCTGCTCTCTGATCATCTATAGATAAAACCACCACCAACAACACTAACAACCACAACCACAACAACAACAACACTAACAACCACAACAACAACAACACTAACAACCACAACAACAACAACACTAACAACAACACTAACAACAACAACAACACTAACAACAACAACACTAACGACAACAACACTAACAACAATGGACATGTTCTCACAAATGCAATAATGTATACTAATCGCAGGTATTGTAATTTATAAACGACACGATAAAGAGAAAAATATATTTCTGTGATTTTCGACAAAAAATACCGCAAAATTGCGTTTATGTTATCGTAAACCGTGTATTTAGCACTATTCCTATAAAACATAGGTAAACAAACTTTGAGACATGTCCGGCCAAACGGACGGATGGACGAACAGACGGGTGGACATTTTGCAAGAATAAAATACTTTTCCGATATCCCATAAAATGAATATTTGTTTTGAAATTTCAAAATTGATTTTCCGTAGCATTACATACTATACTCGTACTTCCTGTAAGTCTCCAAAATGCTCCTTAGCTGTCTTAGCATTGCCTTGGAAACGATTTTCCATTTTGTCATTTTCCCTCCATCTTATATCAGATATCGATATTTTAAAATACTTTTTTCTATAAGATATCTTTCTTTTTGTTAACGAACTCATTTACGGTGGTAATAAGCGATTTCTTTTCCGAACAGTGCGCCATCACGTTAAAAAACGTAAAAAGTAAAAATTTAAACCCCTTTTTCCTACTTATGGAAAAATGTTCACGTAAACAAAACAGCAGCTGAAATATCTGAAAAAATGTGTTTTTGTTTGCAATATTTTGCAATATTTTTTGCAATATTTTTTTAAGTATTATAGAGAAAATATTTTAAACACTAAATACTGTTTATTTACATTATTCCCAACCATAAAGAGGCAGAAAATCAAATTGTAAGAAATAATTTTCGTTGTGTAGTGCTAGTTTAAGTGGTAGAGAGAAGCTTAAACTTGGTGAAACAAATTTTATTTTATTTTATGTAATCCTGGTTTACAGCACTTGGCACATTCTTACCCGGCTACAACTCCTTTACTTGTATAGAATACGAATGGCCCGAAACACCGATTTTTAAAACAATTTCCACCAGAAACATTGATATACTAACATCAATGTTTTGTTTTCGATGTTGTCTTCAGATCGATATTTTTTCGAGAAACATCAATGTTTAAAAATATCTCATGCTGCAAATAAAAATTCCAACGTTCATTTTTTCTTTTTCGGTTGCTCAAAATCAACTGCTCGTCAAGGATGTCGATCCCCTGACGGCGAAACCGTTCACTACTCGCGACTTCCAAATGCAGCCAGGGGATGGGGATTGAGGTTTATTCCCCTTTAGAGGTAGCGGATATTTTTATTTATTACGCGTTACCTTCGTTTTTCTTATATTATCAACAGGCCAATTGTTTGTATCGCGACAATCTGGTTTACAAATTAAACTCTTGGGGAGAGAAAACAAAATTGAATTCAACCATCTTTCAGATAACGTTTATGTATATGATAAGTATTTGAAGTTATTTTATAAGAATCTGCAGGTTCAGTCTCTTGAGATTGAAAAATGATGAAAATATACATATTCACGAGAAAGAAACATGTATGAATACTCACTTTAGATCTTCATCTCTTTTGTATTCTTCACAAACTTGCTTATCCAATATTTCATTTTGCGTTTCACTTTCCTGCAATTGTAACTGACAATCTTCAATTTGCTTTTGGAAGTCTTGCACTTCTGCCTGGAACATATACGAATTGAAAATTATTTTATTATTTAGTGAAGAATAAAAGCAGAAAGTCGTTCGTCAGCCAGTGATTTCTCACTTGGTATGTTTGTTCCTGTTTCACTAATATTTCCTTCAGAAGTGAAATTTCTTCTTCTATTTCATCAATGCCATTCGGCAAATCATTGTAATCTTTCTCTGCTCTTAAAATTATCTCATTTTGCTCCTCTTTGTCACAGGTGGTATTTGTAAATCTGTTCATCACTTGCAACAACACACTTCTGGGAGACTCAGTTTTCTCTATGGTTTCAGACTCCATATTTTTATCCAATAAAGTTAATCTGTAAGAAAAATAATAATGTTTAATTTATAGTTTAGGTAGACGTTTTCGTTCTTAGCCACCCAAAAGTCGATGAAACATTAATAAATATATTTTTACTTATTTTCTTTAGTAAAGAATGCCGTACAATATTTCAATTGAATACGTTATAAAAAAATACCCACCAACAAACACAAATTATTTTTAATTCAATATAAATGAAAATTTCTTATAAGAAAACATGACGTAAGCTACATCCTCCTCATTGGGGTTATATCGGTCCTGTCCCACGCCTCGACAGCCCGCTACGGGCCTTGGCCAACCGGCGGTGGCCCAGCCTCTCGGCCACGAAGACATCCCTCCGCTTTATATACTGGTCTTCTTAACCTTACGGTGGTCTTTCTCATCGTCACACAGCAATAGGCACTGGGACATTTGTAAGGAAAGCGCACAGTTATTGTTTGGCCGCGGCCGGGAATCGACCCCGGGGCTGTGCCGTGGGATGCGAGCAGCTAACCAACGACCCGCCGAGGGCACGGGATCTCCGCCCCTCAATAAACAGCAGAAAATTAAAAACAAATAGTTCCTCTTCAAATATACATATTTATTTATACATATACATCGTGTGATTAATTGTTCGGCTACACTTTCAAATAGATTACGATGCAGTTTACGCCTAAACTATTACGGTTGTATATAAGTTGTTGACAAACGGTGACCTTCAAAAAAATGGAGTTGGAATGCAATTATAGCTAATCTAAACTATTTAAATTTACAAAAAATGAGCGCACGTAATTCTGCTGCTTCTTCCAGTTAGCCGTCTATTTAGAGAACCCCGGAGACGGTTCCGGGCCACGTAGTAACTATTTTCGACCGTCAAGGGGAGGGGGAAACAATGGGTAAGAAAGAACTAATTTTGGTTTTGACTGTTAAAACATAAAAGCAAGTTGTCCTAATTTCCAGTGAAGGTATTGGATTCTATCAGTATTAATAGTATTTAATGATAATGCAGTCAGTTTTGTGTATAACGTTTCAGATACGGTTCTTGCGTCTTTAGGCGGTTCGTGGCCCACCTGCCCTTTGGTGAATATGTTTGATTGAAATTTGAAGAGGAATTGTTGGTTTTTAATTTATATGTCTACAGATATTCAAAAAAGAAGAAAAAATTGGAGAAAAGCGACATTGCAAAAGAACATTCTCACTGCATAAAAGAAATATTTTACACAGAAAGATAGGATAGAGAGAGAGAGAGAGAGAACGATAGAGAGACAGAGAGAGAACGATAGAGAGAGAGAAAGATTATCAATGTGTAATTTGCTATGAAATATTGAGCAATATGACCGTGAGAGGTATTTGTGATAATTTGATTTTACCATCTGTTTCAAGAACAGAAGTAAAAAAAACATGTAAAATTGTAAAGAGTGAAAAGGTAAATGATTGTTACTCAATGTCACTTCGAAATCTGCTGCGAAAAAAACCTTCGGAATAGGCACGGAGAAAGTAAGATAAGACAAGATTATCAACAATTTATATGGACCGGATATACTTTTGCATGGTTGAACACTTGTATCATGTATACCCAACACGTATATATCCCAATTAAAGGTGTAAATACAAAATTTCTCTACTTACTTACCTTGCATTTAGTGACGAATTCAAATGCATTTTTGACACTTCTTTTCCATTTCAAGGGTAGGAAAAGTCGTTATTTTATGATACATTTTCATGATTTATGGGTTAACATTTGATGACATAGTTCATGCATTCTAAATACATCATTATAATAATGTGAACAGACTTGCATATTCTACAGAAATAGATTTCCAAAACATAATCTTTCTCATAATTAAAAAACAAATCGGGAAATGAAAGTACTTCTCTTCGCGAAAGTAAGGTGATCAGAGCTACTCTTGAATTGTATATTTTTTTAATGTTTTCATTATACACATTCTGTGATTGTTGAACAATTGACTGCTATAGCCTCGTAATTCAAAATTCACATACTTATGTTTTTGTAACCAATACATACATTTTAAAATTTTTGTGCCGAGTGTTTAAGTAATGAAGATTTTCATGAACGAGTTCTAAAATAATGAAAGTTTGTAAAAAATATTTTAAATTATGAAATAGTAAAACTCACTAACACTTCAATTTTGTGAATTATATAAATATCATTTAATAATTTGTAGTAGTTTTGTTTACAATTTGTGTCTGTGCTGATTTTCGATAAATGTTTTTATTTTCTATATCTGTTGGAAGGTGAAATTGAAATTACTAGAATGAATTGGAATTGAAATAATGGGATAATAAAAGCATTATTAATTTATGATCACTTTGGCTTTACTTGCAATACGAAATGGAAATTACTCTGACGATTGTACACGTCCATTCAAATACTGATAATACTATTTCTTCTGTGCGTATTCCACTCCAGGTGAATTGTCTCAAATTTATTTTCTTGTGTTCATTACACTTATGTCACATAATTTATTATCTCGGAGTATGTGAAACAAAATAGAAATTTGTTGTCGTTAATAAATCTATACGATAAGATTGATTAGGATTCTTAATTTCTTCTATAGAGTCGTGAGCAATATGCTCCCTTGCTGCAAGACATTCAAGCTTGTGTTCAAGATATGAAACCTCAGTTGGACCCCGAAGAAATATGTTTGTACTGGCGTATGTCAGATGAAAGGTAATCTTTATCTGTGATCTCTTACAATGAGACCAACATATTTTGAAAATATTTTCTTTTTGCATTCAATTTAAGGCTCGCTATTCTTCCAGTTGTTGACTGGAGTCTGTCTATTCGTTTGTTTGCAGTACCTCTTAGAAATTCGGAATTTTGTTTCGCTTTTACATTTGCATTTCCTAAACATGTGATTTATTTAATAAACTATAATGCTTTTCATAATAATAATGTTATCCGCCATATATAAAAAAATGTAAGATATCATACTGATATAACAGTATTTTCACTCGAACATTGTGTTCTTTTTTCGAATTTACACGCACTTTCTGAATATGATTATAACACTTCGCATCAACAGGTGGCGGTAATTTATGAACCTTCAAAACGTGGCCAATTACATACGAGTATAAACACACAAACATTTAAATGTCTTTATTGATTTTCATTCACTATGTTTTCTTTTCATTTCACTTTGTCTTTTCTGGCGTTAATAAACACATTATGACTACTCGACTTTTAGAATAGGCAACATTGTTTGTGTTTCGTTTCTTGAGTGTTTATGCGAAAACGCCTCTTTTGATTATCCATTAAATATTCAGGGTGCGTCACATAACGTAAGCACCTCCTATTACTTTTGAACGTTATTGCAATGTAGTTTCCACGAAGTGCATAAGGGAACGCAGCTAACTGATACATATTTACTTCTATTTTATCACTTGTATTTTACGAGATATTTTAGGTAACTTTGTTGGGTTTTTTGAAATAGAAATACACATTTTTTTCAGTCTATCATGAGTAGCGTAAAAAGACGAATCCAATGATATACAATTATCATACGTTAGATCAGCATTTTTTTGAGTAATTTTGATTTTTCTGCGAATAGTGTTTAACGTATATTTTGAAAGTAACAGTCCGCCACACAGTGACTTACCGCTCCCCGTGCCAGGTCGCGCGTGGCAAGGGAAGGGACCTTAGTATTTGAAGTTACGAAATACACATATTGCAATTATTCACCCCAAATATACACTGAGCGGCGGAAAGTCTGAGTGAACACGTCTCATTAGCTCTTCGTTGCTGAAGTCGCACGATCCTAACGAAATTGCTCGCGCAATGTGGCATGAAAAATACGCAAGTTTGAAACTCCTTTTTCTCAAAAAATTGTTTTTATCAAATTGTCTCATCGTAAGTACGAAAGAACGGTCAGAAAAATGGCGGCAACCGCATTTTCGGCGAACGTACTATTTTCGAAAATTGCAAAATAGTAACATTGAAAACTACAAATTTGAAGGTAGCGATTTTTGACATAAAGAAATTTTGTTTTTAAAAACTCTGATCTTTAAAAGAGGTAATATACAAGTTTTGAATAAATTGCGTAATTTATTCGTCAGCTTAATGGTAATTGACAAAACCATTTTCTCACACAACTCGAACTTTTTATCTTCATTTGTGCCACGCCCCCCGGCCCAGCGCGACTTAAAGCGCGCGTCGCGTGCGCGCAGGTTCGTGCCCATCTACAACTACGTGACGTACAGCGCGGCGTGGGCGCAGCTGTGGGCGCCGCGCTTGTTCCTGGTGGTGCGCGACGCGCGGCGCGGCTGCGCGCCCAAGGCGTGGCCGCGCGCGCGCGCCGACGAGCCGCGCCCCGTCCGCGCCTTCCGCGCGCGCGCCGCCGACGAGCGCCTGCTGGCCGCGCTCTTCCCGGCGCCCCCGCGCGGCTTCCTCTGGGCCGGCCACGCGCGCGAGGACGCCGCCCCGGCAGCGCAGGTTTAAAACAAGCACAAAAATAACGTTCTCTCGAAACGACTTCAATTTGTTCTTTCAATTTTTAGTAGGGATTGTACTAAATGCACTCTGTAAAGTGACGTAAGCCGCATGTTGCAATATTCCCTTGTTTTTTTCAAAAATTACTTGTCTATCAAGTTGTTAGATATTAGCAGCAGTTTCTTCACAATATATTTATGAATACAAGTGCTTTAAATAATGTCAGATAAAGCTTCTCGATAACTGAACCGTTTTCTGTGAAAACTAACTCAAAATTTCGCATTTTCAAAAACGCTCAATCGTCATTTATTCAAAAACGACTTCAAAGTTTTTTCTTCTAACATTTCTAAAGTTAGCATGCACTTCTCCAGCAATTTGTAAACACTATTGGGATTGAAGGTTGGAGTTAAAGTGTTTCAAATGTCTTCAAATGAAATTTTTCGAAAACAAAGTTTTATCAGAAAATGTGCTTAAAATTTAGAATTTACGGTAGCGTTTAAGCGCCATTTTCTTGAAAACGACTCCAAACTTTTCAAAGAAAATTGCCATTTAGGACATGATTTTACTTTCTTTAATACTTTTAATATAATATTTCCGTTCTATTAGGAAATCTAAAAATTATGAAAATTTTTAAAAAAATATATATTTTGGGCGGCGACTCGCTGGCCGGCAATTCGCAAGAGTATGTGGCAAGTTCGAATAGTTCCAAAGGAAATAAAATACGCAACAGGTTCTTCTCTCCCTTGCAGGTGCTGGACACGCTGCGGGGCTCGTGCGCACCGCCCGGCGACGACGACCTGGAGGGCGAGGGCCCGCCGCGCGACCGGAAGGAGGCCGAGCTGGACGAGAGCAAGAACAGCACCTCCAAGAGCGTGGGCGGCAAGAGCGCCAGCGGAAAGAGCGGCGGCGCCAGCCTTACCAGCGCCAAGAGCGCATGACGCCTCGCCGCAGCGCGAGATATCCACCTCGGGTCTTCAACACTACGCGAGAGTGTTCTCCGCCCTACCACTTCTGGGGGCCGTCCACTCTGATGTGAACCGGTTCAGATTAAATAAGTTAGTTATGCTAGCGAGTTTCTTGAAGGATTCCTACCTCAAGAGAAAAATCTTCACCCAAGAAGCATAGGTGAGCAATAACACTGAACGTTTAGTCAAAAGTAATATTAACCAAAAATCCAAAAATCAAAACAGTTGCACCTACCTTTGGCAGCGCTTTATTTGCATGTGTTGACCTAAATGAAATAGTTCAGAAAGAATTTTCTAAGACATCAAGAGGAAGGAATATTTTCTATTAAAGGAGAACAAGAACGCTGTGTGTTAGGCCAAGAAGTGTGAACAGTGATGCCAGATAAAACGTAAGTGCAACTGAGTTAAGATTATTTAGTTTGTTGGTAGCGCAAGAAGCGACACTAATTTTTCTTCATTATGCTTTGAGTTTCTATTATACTCCCAGAGAAAAAATTAATGTTCGTACTCTGTAAAATAAGAGTTGCTTACTGATGCAACATTAATATTTTACAACACAAGATACTCGTGTTTGTAACTTCTGTAATACAGTATAACCTCATTTAACCGAGCCCCACAAATCCGAAATTTCGGATAATTCGAACAAATTTCGGGATGAAGAAACAATAAACGAAATAAATAAAATGCTTATTTGTAGGGTAAAGAAATTATTTTATTATTACTGTAGAACTGAACAATAAATTATTCAAACAAGTTATCAAAATGAAACGTTAATTACACTGGTAGCTACGGTGTATTTTACATGTTTATGTAGCAGTAGTTTTTACTTACAGGAACTCGCAAAATCTGGTTATCTTCTTTTCCCGTAAGGAACTGAATCTTCTTGATGCTGCGATGCGATGAAGCAATCTCAACCCTACGATAACATTGTCTCACATCGCACGCTACGGTGCATTGTCCGGTAATCCTATAAAATATGTATTTGTATGTGTATAGAAAATTTTCTTGGATAGTTTGAACATTTCCGAATCGGAACAGATCATGTCTCCAATTAGTTCGGATTACCGGGGTTCTACTGTATCTATATATTCAAATCACTAAAGGTTTTTGTTTAGAAAACAATTTGAGCAATCTACCGAATCAAATGTACTTTTTCTTTAAATCAAATATATTGAGCTCTAGATGTGTTATCACTTGCTCCTATTATCTGGTTTAATAGTAAACACATTACATTATAACAATATATTGAATGAACTTTTATCTGACTTCACTTATTCATTACGAAGATTTCAGTGAACCTCAATACAATTGTTAATTTCTCGCGTGTCTGAGCACTATAAGATACATAACAGGTTAAACTATTCAAACTTTCATCCAAATATAATTATTGCACAAGGCTCTCTGATTAACAAGCACACTAATTTCAAACACTGATGTAATATTTGTGTTAAAAAAGAAACGATTCTTTAAAAACGCACTTGTCCATTTATCGTGCTTAAAGTTAGTCGTGTTTATTTGGTGTGTTGGCCCAAACATTTTATAGTACTCGTATTTACCGCATGTATACATATTCGAATGAATGCAATGTCAAAGGAGGAAGGAAAGCTAGGAGTGAATAACAATTTAACCGCCAATCTACAAACATGTTTAAATACTCTTCTATTCTGCTGTGGTCATTAATTCTGTTCGTGCTATCCAGTCGCTATCCTGTCACTCACGTTTCATCTCGCGATATGGCGGTGATCGCTCTCCCCTATACACAAGCAAGGTACCTCCACCAGCGGGGCTCAGCGGGGCTCAGCGGGGCTCAGCGGGGCTCAGCGGGGCTCAGCGGGGCTCAGCGGGGCTCGCCCCAGCCGGGACAAGCTCTCAGCTCCCGACCGCTCTCCCGGCGTGTGCGTAAGGGGTGGGGAGAGGAAATGGTGGCCCGGTCGCTTACGACTCTTCAGACATCGGGTGAGTTCAATGCCTCAGAGGTAGCCGCCGGCTCCCAGCGGTCTTCACAGACCACCGGGCAGACAGACTGGGACGCGCAGAAAGCTTTTCTGTCAAAAATTCGCCGTTTTTGAAAAATCATTACATTGCTTTTGCTATACGGCGTAAGCAGTAGCGAGAAAGTAAAAACGGACAATTTGCGACATAAAAACCTATTGTCGGGCCCTGGTAACGAAAGTGGGGATAAATCCTGTCTACATACGAAGTAAATTACATCTTCTAACTCGTTGTGTAGGCAGAATTCATGGTTTGTGTATTGTTGATACCGAAAAATTTCCTGCTTGAAAATAGCCATTTCTGATTCATTGCACAATGAAAAAAAAAATCAGAAATTAGCGGTCTTGAAACGTTGCCGTCTAAAGTCTGCGAATTAACTCAGCCCGCTACGTTGCCTCGAGTATGTGCTGTGTAACTAGTGTGGAAAATCCTGCCACCGTCGTGTGTCTTCATTTGAAACCTCTTTTTATTTGGAAAAATTGATTTAAATATTTATGTTGGAATTATGCAATTATTTAAAAAATAATATTGTATAATGTCATTTACACACCACAAAATAATCTACAATATAATAGAAAAAATGTTTATTATTTAACAAAAATCGATGGTGCCCACCCCTCCCCAAAATGATCGGCTGAATCCGATCCTGCACTGCTTTCACATCAATTGATGCCCTGAGCCACCTAAACCGGTCAATATATCACAAGTTTTAACACACTATATCACACATATAACACACTATTCGGCCATAAAGTATTTTGGCATTAAAAGCGTGGAAGAGTACGTCAATGTCGTTTCACCTCCGTTGCTGTAGGCCGGGGTCGCGTCACCAACTCAAACGCTCAGCGAGGCCAAAAACGTACTCTGGAAACATGGACCGGGAGAAAAGTAGATTTTATTGTTGGCAAATGAGGGAGTAATGCAAAGCAGTTAGTGGAGTGGTTTCAGTAATTTTTAAAGAAGAGGCAAAAAAACTCAGTACTTTCAATTGTTGTTAGAACAATAATGAGGTTTTGCCTTCTGAGGGTTCCAGACAGCCAGATGAGTGCTACTGTACCAAAACTGAGTTTCATTAATTTTCAGACTCACGAGGTTGCATCGATATGCTTGCTAGCGATTAATAATATTATTTCTATTTTTTACGTTATGACAGTGAAAACAAACAACACACCTGAATAAAATGAATGTATTTGAACACACAATGAAACAAGACATTTGTCCTTTTTTGCTTCCTCACCGAAATACGCCAGCATGACGTTCTCACTAATATTTAATATTTCTTTATCCTTACATGAGTCTCGAAATTTTGCTAGAATCGTCATTACAATTGTTTTTAGATTTTTGGGTATTAAATTTCTAATATCTTCATTAGCAGCACCAGATATGCATTTAGGTTCAGCCGAGGCCTCTATTAAACGTGTAGTGCTAATTGACAGTTTCGTTGGTGCCAAATACTATTCACTTATCACGAATTTTAAATTCCATTGCTTAACATTTTAAATTCAATCTCAAACTATTATGGACGTGAAAAAAGAGCATATACACCTCGTGAGATACATTATTTTTCTTAAGTATAATTGTAGTCCTCTGTCTATAATTACACTTTGGGAAAATAATACATTTATCTCTCTTGTTTATTAGTTGGCAAAAAATACGAGTACGTAGGAAATATCCTCAAATTTCATTTGCCCGTACAACAAGTCCAAACTTAAACGAAACGCCTGTAGTACCTAAGGAAGTCGTTTAAACCGGCACTTCGCGCCGCTCCGGCGTTAACTAGGCAGTTTGAATTCTGGAGGTTTTCTTTGAAAAGTGATTTCTTATAAAAGTGAATAGGTAATTATGCGGTGGATGGACTCAAGGATGTTAATAGTGAACGCTAGGGCCGGAAGCCAGAGTCTTGGATCCAGGCGAGCGAAGCAAGAAAACTTGCCTTTGAAAGTAAATTGGCGTTACAATGCGGCGGGGACAAAGCATATAAAGGGCGAACCCCGCCGCCATGCTTCTCTAAGGGTGTACCGTATACTAAACTTTAACCAACGAATCGAAAATAAATTACATGTGGTTGCACCTTACAAGAATAAAAGCCCTTTTTACGGAAATGCAAAATATAAAAGAAATGATATACCGTATCAGAACCCAACAGTCAGATGAAGCTATCAACAACAAATGCAGCTTGTGTGTCTCAATTAATGAATCACAATACTAGATGGAATAGAAACAACTTTCAGTGCATGGAATACATTCATGAGAATCATATTTTACGAGAAATTGGGAGTGGAAGAATTGAAACTGACAATTTAAATCGTGAGATTCATCCATCACGAAGGGGAGCTTCAAAAACGAAACAATGATATTTTACCTCCTTCGCATTCAGCGTCGAATAACAAAATTCTTGTCCGCAACGCCCCTGCCGGTAACGCTCCGCCTCGCTCGGCCTCACCTCGCCTGCCGGACTCCGCATGCAAGACTGCCGTCGACTGGTTCCTCGACCTCCCGCTGTCAAGTGGCAGCACTGCAAACGAACCTGCCGCGCCTCGCCCTTCCCCCTCGGAAATAATCCGAGACTTGAGTTATCAAGAGGTGCTAAATAGCACGTACTTCCTCCCTGTATTTGCACGCAAAATTTTGCGAAAAATTCTCAAATTTTCGAAAGTTGTAAGTGATCTTATTTGAAAGTCTATCATTAAGGAACAGATTTTATTATGGAAAAAATCTCAATCTTTAATACTTTAATTGTAGCAAGACTCCGAAAAAGTTTTGAACTTTTAAAATTTTCGAAAAATTAGTGTTTTTAACGATCTTGAGACCTGCACCATTCTCTTGTACGTCCTTCACACTATCCAACAAAAAATAATAAAAAATTGCAAGCAACACCACTGGAACGACCTCTATGAGTCAGAAACATAAACTATTGGTATTCCTCGCAAAGCCGTAGATGAACCAAGTCACTACTCGAGCTAATAGCTACTCGAGTCCCCTAGGAATAAATTCAAAAAGAAGATGAAAGGTCGCGACGGAAACATCTGGCATTAGCGCTCATGGTAGGTCAACCCGCGACGAATATCCGGCCGATTTTTCTATAGATAGCCGGCGACATTCCATGTCCAACGGCACAAAGATAAAACATTTTCTTACTAGGTTTTCTCACTTCATTAAATAAATCATCATCACATTGGAATAAGGAGAAAACAAAACCTTATGAAAAAACATCACAAAGTGACATGTTGACAATGAAATTAAAAATTAAATCATCGCCATGAAGCCACGTGTCGCAATCAGAGTAAAGGTTAAAGAGGACGCGCCGCCAGAAAGTATAGCTTCATATTTGGTGCTATTCTTGGGTGGGTCTTTACAGAGAATTAATTAATTTAATCATAACATTTGATATTTACATTATTTAAAATATTTGGTAAATTGTATTGAGCATACAAGAATAGAATCATGATAATAATATGTTTATATCAAAAATTAATATTAATTATCCGTAAATGAAAAATCATTTTAGAGAAATTTAATCATCATATTCACTTCCTTTGATCACATCTTGAATAATGATTAAAACGATTGCGCCAGTGACTTCCTCTATTCTACAACAGTTAACAGGAAGTAATGCTGTATTCCTTTTAGTTATTGCATAATAATAATTAGAAATGAAGGTTAGGGAGGTATTTTTTGTGGGTGACCGGACGTAATTTAATAATAATAATAATAATAATAATAATAATAATAATAATAATAATAATAATAATGTAATCAAAAGTAAGCATTATTATCATGGACTATTACTATTAAGTTTGAACATTGCAAAGATATTTTTCTCACGCTCAAGCAAGCGCTGTATATTACGACACGATTATCTGGGGAGATTCGCTTGGACGCATCAACTTTACAGAGTATTTACGATATTTGGAGATGTTGAACCTTATTAGACAACATCTATCTACAAAATTCTTTTTAAATTTATTTTAATATTTTAAACATTGGGAATATCAATGTTTGGCCTTGGAATAAAGAGTTTTTCTGCTGAAAATTCGCCGTTTTTTCACGCAGCATTACATAACTTTCTCTGATCTTCCTGGGGAGAAAGGAAAAAGGATGCTTTATTTGTCTCTACCTTAGTAAACAACTTCAATTTATATAAAGAACTTCGTTTATTCACAACGTTGACTACACTTCCCATACCTCTTTCATCTGTACACACACTGCGCATGCGTCGAACTTTATAATGTAACAGATGTACGTGACATTTCTGTTAAATTAATGTTTTTACCAAAATAATAATGAATGAATCAAGCCCTATAACGTAAATAAGAACCAAAGTCCAGACGCATTTCTTGATAATGCTTGGCGGTGATTATAAATGTCAGAAATTGTATGCGCCTGTAGGTTTAACGAGTGTGTATAAACGTATATATTTTTCTCGAAAGTATGAAAATGGCTTACATCATTTTTTATTTCAAGCCTTCAATTACTGCCGATTACTCGTAACCTAACTTCGCTATCGGAAAAACCATTTAAAGAGCTTAGAACCACGTTGGTGGGTTTGTTGGCAGTTTTAGATATATTCGCAAAAACAGAAAGAATGCGCATTGCAATTCAGCTTTAAGATGGGGAAATCAGGGTGGATATAGGGCTTTTCGGGATATTTCGTCTCAACAAACTGTTATATTTGATTCGAAGGTGAAGATAGCATTAAGATCGGAATGAAATGATTAATATACATACAAACAAACATTCTTTATGTACTACTATCATAAAATAATTAGGGGAAGGTCGGATGTAATCGGCCACTACAGCTACAAATAAGATTTCTCAATTTCCCTCTGGAGTACTTCTTCGTGTGACTCCTCACCTTCAACCTATGCAGCAAGGGAGGCCCTAGCAGTGGCCAGCCTACTGCCGACATATCTCTCAGGTTCACGGAGGTACTCTAGCTCCACTCTCAACTACAGGGTCTTGTACTCCCCAGGTGGAGTTATCACAAGAAAAAGCGAAAACTTTTACACATTTATGAAACTAATAGTGGGGCAACAGCACATATTTATTGCACTGCAACTATTTTATGAGTGTGCGGGTCGCGCGTCATTGGGCGTCTGCGAAGGCCACGGATGCCCGAGAAATCGAGCCAGGGCGGTCGGTGAAATAGATGGCTCTTCGCTACTGGAAAACTTCAATTGGACTCGCGTTATAGGGAGACTGGCATTATCACCGGGGCTCTGGCACATTTTTGACATCTGAGGGGTCGTCCATAAACTAGGTAACGCTAAAGAGAGGGGGGAGGTCTGAGGTAGCGTTACATAGGGGAAGGGGGGTATTAGTTAAGTTTCCGTAACATTGATATTTAATTTTTTACATTGTTCAACATTTGCTGAAGTACTTTCTTTTTTCTTTTGTCTTGTTCTAAAATATTAAAATATTAACTAATTAATTTGTTTTAAAAACATAAGTAAAGTAATGAGTTGTAAATTGTAACAATAAACGGAAATATTTTTTCAATATTTTTTAGTCTAAGATAACGACGAAATTTTCAAAACTGATACGTAGTATATTCTTGAACCTATTTAAATTGGCGCTGTAAACTCACGCTCTTGCATAATCTAGGACAGCGTGTACATTGCTTGTGATCAACCATTTCTTGCCCAAGCATTTTTCTTTCACTTTACTACTTGCCCCAATATTATTGTCAGGTGAAGCCAGCACCGCCAACCAATTTCTATTTTAATTATCGTTAATTACTTTAAAATAAATACGACTTGTTTTTACTATGTTATAATTTATTTTCACTTCTTGCATTTGCAAGGGTTACGTAATAATTTAGGGGGGTTCAATCGTGCGTTACAAGGGGAGGGGGTATTAAAAATACTCCAAATTTGCGTTATGTAATTTATGGCCCCTATAATGACGGCCCTAAATAAGTTCTGGTTTCCTCAGTAAGGGATGACCGGTAGTGTTCCTGTATTGGGCCTTAATTCTTCTTCCCTGTGGGAATTTGTCGCAAATATGCAATCTTTCAGAAATCCCCAAAAGAAATCGCACGGAGTCAGATCAGGAGAGCGTGCAGGCCACGTGTCCCCTTAAGGCCCCTACGCAAGTACCAATTCCTCGGGCCGACCGGCCAGTCAATCCGACAAATTGCATCATATGAAGGCATGTTGTCCAACAGAAATTTTAGTCGGGCGGTTGGTTGGTCCTGACCACACGACTGCCAATTACTCCACCATACTGCCAGACAAATTGTGTAGTGTGTAGAAGTGTTGGGTCAACTTACAGTGATTACAGACCTCAAAACGCTGGTTCAAATGTGAAACGGTTGTTTAATAGGAAAATTCTTTGGTACTTGGGGGGTTTTGGAGGTCACTGATTACGAATATGCTGTCAAAAATTTCAAGAAATAAAATTACGGATGAAATTTGGCAGAAAAGTAAATAAAACATTAAATGCAATTTCTTTTCAAAATCGGCAATGTAAGCGAATTTTCCCAATAACTATGAGAATAAAAGCAACATAAAAAAGCAATTGTTTGTATTTATAAATTGTAGAAATTACATACAATATCATGAGAAAATCATTATTTAACTGCTTAAAATCTCCTTTGTTCAAACACGTGCCAACAATGCGGTCACAGCGAGACGCAACAACTTATGTGATTTTGAAAGGTACCAAATACGCAGTATATACAGTACATGTACAAGAAAATTGCAAATTTGACCGTAGAATTATGTACTATAGCACAGGTTTTTTTTCTCATTCATTTTTCACTTTAGTAATTAACATAATATTCAGTATTCACTTGGAATAAATCCTTCATTTTAATTCGTGTTCTATTTGTACAAAAATTTTGTTAAAATGTTAATAACCTGGTGGTATATTTTGCTGCCGTAATAGAACACGGTTGCACGTGGTTAGCTTTCGAACTGGGCTCTGAAGACGAATACAATTGACGTGTTCCTCACCTGCATTTTAACTATATGACTGTACAGGTAAACTATTGTGAACATAAATCTCTACATACGATTTTTTTTAAAATTTTGGCCAGATTTTCGAGGTCGGGAATCACTGTGCTCGCACAGATGTTGCCTTCTCAAAATTCCGAGCACTACTGAAAAATCGGGTTGGCCGGCCATAGTAGCAAAGTCCAATTTCGTTGTCCCGACGGTAGGTCCGACAAATTAGCCCGTATAGGCCTTTAAACGGATATTAAAAGGAAACTGAAGCAGTTTGTGCGGTTGCAGAGTCCTGTTGAAAATGACCTTAATTACTAGGGAGAGGATTTTTATGCCCTAAAAAATCTTGAAATAAGCAATATGTCATTTCCTGTATGAACTTTTCTTGATAAAATTCAGAAGCATGCTTGGGATGAAAAGATATATACCTGTGCAAATATAACATAATCTTACTTCGCGAGAGAAATAATTGAAGTAAATATTCACCTAGTATGTTTGGTTGCATTTCTTCTACCTGCTTTAAAATATATCAAGAACCTTCTTTTGCACAAGTATTGTATTGTCTGTAGAGAAGAAGGAAAACAAACGCAAATCGTCACAAGCTTTTTTGAATAAATGAACGCTCACAAATAAAAGATATTCTACAAAAAGATGAAACGTTTTACAGAGAGGTTTCTATGTAAACGAAATATGCGCTTATAATTACACGAATATGAAGAAACAAGAAAAATCAACCAAATATGCACAGAGATATTAATCTACGTAGCATTTAATTCTAACCAAATGTAAACTTTCATTTAGTTACGTCCCGAAGCAACAGATCAAAATATGCAAAATCGTAGAAATTACGCCCATTTATCAACATTTGGAAGAACGTCTCCAGAAATGCGATGCACAAAACTGTTTGACATATTTTACTTGTGTCATACACACACTTTCCGCTTGAGAGTGAACTCTGAGCGAGCCGCCACAAACCTTTTTTCCAACAAGATGCAAAGCACACCTTTCGCAGGGCGAGACCGCGAAACGCCCCCGTCCGCAGGGGAGTTGAGCGCGCCGTTCCCCGGCGGCCGAGCAGAATTTGCCTCGATCGCGGCACACTAAGAAAATAGCGACTGCAGTGCATTACACTTCGTATTCTACTTACTCATCAGACGTCACTAAAAATGTAACTCCAAACTGTGTAAAATCTACTGCTACCCAGAACATCCAATTCTCTCACTTTGCCCGTCCCCAAGGACAGATTAGCAATATAACATTCCACCTACGGCTTTGCCAGTAATTCTAGACTAGCAACCGAACACACTACAAAGCAATATCTTGTGGAAAATTATAATAATCTAATTATCTCACATGAGTTCGAGACAATAAGTGACTCTGGAACAGGACAAAGAACGTTTTAAGGAATGGCACTGCACTTAACAGATAAGAACATTAAAAGAAATCACAGACACATCTTTGAAAAACGAAACGTTTCTCTGGAAAGTAAAGAAATAAAATATTTTATCTTTAACTGAGGTTTGCTGCAGCCCATTTATTTGCAAAATAAGAGCAAATATTAAAATGTCTCGTTTTTTTTTGTTTTAAGCTTAATTTCAATACAAAGATTAACACATTTTGGAAGAGGAAAATTTATTTAACAATTAAAACATAGGTAAACCATCATAAACACTATTTTACCCTCCTTTTTGTTATAATGGCTGAAACAGTTCCATTTTTAGCATACTGTCTTAATTTTCAACATGTAACTAGTCCAACTGATTCTGGTATTCAACTGGGTATCAGCAGTAATGCAGGATAATGGGAGCGGCATGGGTGGTAAAATTTGACAATAAACATTTACATACATTATAGCAACTGGCAACTAGTGAGTGCCTGTATTGACTCGGGATTACCTGTATTTTATTTTGTTTGGATTGTTTACGGCATATTCAGCGAGAATGACTCCTATCATATAAAAAATAGTGTTCAATATCGAGTAATAACCCCAGCAAATTAGATTACAGTACGGTAAGTCCCTTCACAGAAGCCCATGAAAATATATATAGTAACAGTGTAGTTCAAGTTCTAATTGGAAGTCGATTTGTGTTTTATATTCATTCCCCAATCATTTAATATTTATGATCTTCAAGGTATACTCACACGTGTTTTGAACCTGTTATATCAATATAAGCTGCATGTAAGTTTTTAACAAATGTGTTTATTAAATAGATTACACATTTGTGTTCTATATTCAAAATTTATGATCATTTATTCAAATTGATATGTGTCATCATTCCTTCTTTAATTTGTGTTTGAAATACTTTTGTGAATGGGAGAAAATCCCATGTAGTTCATTATTAAAATAATAATTCAAGTCAGACTTACTTGGTGATATTGATTGCACATAACAATAAGATTGGGAGCAAGTTGTGAGTGAAGGAAGATGCTTAGGTGAGAAACGTTTTTATCGCTAGTTGTGCACATGCCATTGTGGTTGGGCAAGACTACTATGCCAATTTAAATGGATTCGAGAACATACTACACAAATCAGTTTCGAATATTTGCTTCATAATATTACAGATTCATCCCACCAAAACTGATGAAAAAAATCTTTCCTTTTATTGTTTAATTAACAATTTATATATAACGTTTTAAAAGTAAGTAAATAAATTTAAATTAAGTTAATTAATTAATATTTTAATGTTTAATACAAGGATAAAAAAGAAATTTTTTCAGCACATATTGAAAAATAATTATCAACATTACATAACAAATAACTTATACCCCCTACCTTACCTCTTAAGTAACGCAGTGCAATGCTGCATCAATCCCTCCCCCTTTAGCGTTACGGAATTTATGGGAAACTCCTTAACTAAAACGTAGATAGTGCACAATTCAACGTATTATTATTTAATTTGGCACTGTTAAAGTGACTGGTTAACGACAATGCAAAGCACTAATTACAATTACATGAAAGAAAAGTTCATTGATTTTATGATAATATAGTTTTCATAAATTTTTTTCTAAAAAAACATTTATCAGTATAAAATATATACATGTTCAAGAAAAAGTTCACTTACAAAAAGGTACAAATCTTAACATAAAATTATATATACAGCTCTAAAACTCTTAGTTTTTCATACAAAAATAATACTTTGTATTACTTCTATTTAAAGCAATAATTCATCTATATCACTAACATTTGTTCATACTATGCTAATACACCAATAAATATGAAATAAGATATCCCAGGTGTACAAGTGTTTGAAAAACCAATCACCACTTTTATATAGTTATAAGTAAGACTTTACATTTGCCAGACCTTTGGTTTCCAAGTTCATGACAATTAATTTTATTGTTAAAATATGAAAATTCTAAAATTCTAAAAAAAAAAAAATAAAAAAAAAAATAAAACCCTTCTAAAATTGTTTTATACATTTAGGGGAAAAATAATATGTACAATATAAAACTTTTACAAATATTAAGTCTTGGCCTTTCCCTTTCTTTGCAAATGCAAAGCATCTGAAAAATTATCTTTTTCACTGATATTGAAGAGAATTCTTACTAACAACTAGTGACTGGAATAATCTGAAACCTAGGCATTTGGGTTTGGTATCTGTTTCTGGTGTACAACTTGTAAGTCATGAGAACAGTGTTTTTAGTGAAATTTTTTGGGCATGTTTTATATTAAATAATTTACTTTTTGAATCACGGTTTGAAAGAAGTAAACTTCAAGATTATTAGTTTCTTCTGTTAAGTGAAATGAAACAATAAAGAAATACTTAAGTGCAAGACCATAATTTTTTAAAATTTTATCTGAAATTAAAACAAATGCTAGTCTGCAAAATTTTCAAGACTTTTTGGCTGAAACAGTTTTCCCACTATAAGTTAAAAATCAATTACAAGTTTACTTTCTACAAGCATTAAAATTAGAATATATATGTATATAAACCTAATGTTCAAATCGCTCCACAAGCTCATTACACATTGCCATGAGTGTTTCATTTTCTTTAGTCTTCTGATCCAATCGGTTTTGCAAATTTGTCACTTGAAGTTCTAAATTAGCGATAGAACTGCTGTATTTCGTACATTCCAATTTATGCCGCTCCTCTTCAGCCATCAGCTTCTCATTTGCTCTGTCACACAGTCAGAATTAAAATTAATAAACAAAACAAAATTCATGAAATGTGTTGTTAAAATTATGGAGTAAAATATCATCCTGCAAATCTGAAATTTCAGATAATTTGTACAAAATTTGAGATGAAGGAAAAGTAAACAAAATGCTTATTTGTAATGTAAAGAAAGTATTTTATAATTACTGCAGAACTGAACAAGTAACTATTCAAACACAAGTTGATGACATTACATGGTTACTATGGTCTATATCACATGCTTATGTAGCAGTAATTTTCACTTAGGGGAACTTGCAAAATCGGTAATAACCTTTTCCCTAAGGAAGAGAATCTTCATGATGATTCAATCGCTACACTACATTTTCATTTTCTCACATCACATGCTTCTTTGTATTTTATCTGGTTAGGCTGTAAATGTATTTGTATATGTACGGTACATTTTTTTGAATGATCCGAACAGACCAAACCACCAAATGGTTCAGAACGGGGTTCTACAGAATAACCTAAAATAATTTTATAACTTTCAAAAATGTATTAATGATGGTTTGTTTAATCTTATTAAGCAAAAAGTGTTAACTTCAACAAGTCATGAAACATTTGCACATTTTTGTACTTAAATTTTCAGTTTCTAAAAAAAACTCTCCTTTTACAATATGTACATTAAGTGGAACCAACTATACATTTTCTTGAAATTCATGTAATAACCGAGTAGTCCTGGCGATATGTCCATAAGTAACGTATAATTTTCCTTAATTTTGCATCTGACTAGTGAAGTCCTATCGTGTAGTAAACCCCATGTTAAGATTTTTTCACAGCAGGTCTCTTTAATTTAGACTGACATACTGAAAGAAAAGGCAGAAATGACTCAATTTTGGAAAAGTTGGTGGGGATACAAATAAATATTACATGCTTTGCTATTCAAAAATTCGTATTTTAGAAGTTGATGCCCACATTTGGAAGCAAGTAGACCTCGTTTCCAAAATGGGATTAAGTGTCCACTTTGAATTCAAAAGTGTTACATGAGATGCGCCCAGTTTTCAAAGTTGCAAAAATGACTGAGAATGTCTCTGATGGAAAAATTGGAAACTGCCCTCATGGGTTGGTTTAAGCAAGCGAGAATACCTACTTTAGCCATTGATGGATCACATATAAAAAAAGGTGCTACATATAGCAGCATGTCTAGAACTTGAAGATATCAAGGCATGCAATGGCTAACTGGATCGCTTCAAAAGGCATCAGAAACTATTTTACAAAACTGCCTCAAGAGAAGGTGCAAGTGTGAATCCAGGCACTGTTTCAGACTGGAAACAGCAGATTCATCAGCTAAGTGAGGGCTGTGAAATGAAGAAGAAGAAGAAGAAGAAGGAAGAAGAAATGGAAGAAGAAGGAGACGAAGACGAAGAAGAAGACGAACAAGACGACGAAGACGAACAAGGCGAAGAAGACGAACAAGGCGGGTGTGTGTGTGTGTGTGTGTGTGTGTGTGTGTGTGTTCAAATTGGAGGTGAAATGGAAAACCTAGTTCTTCCAATTTTAACAGCACACAAAAAGCAAGACTGGCTGACATTGGAAGAAAGAGTCTGACTTCCAAGATTATGTGCCTGTGGACAATTATTTAACTACTTGTGAGGTTCAGGCTGTTGATCAGATACTAGGTCACGAATCTAATGGTAAAGGAAGGAAAATGTCTGAAGTTGCTGAGGAAGACGAGGAGGACAAGGTTGACTTGTACAAGCTCTTAGAGGACATGACGCTGCTTGAAAATATTTTCACCCATTTAATGTAGAAGAAAGAGTGTTGGTTTCATGCAACGACATAACAACTCTACATTGTCAAACAGCTGGAAAACAAAAAGCAAAATCAATTTTAGAATGGGTGAAGTGACTGTGTGCAGTTTAAAATATATTTACTTTTCTAAGGGACATTTCTTTTCAACTGAAGTTTTTATGTATTATTTTTTGAATTACAATGTGTTTTGAAACAAAATCTGTGCAAAAAATAATTTCCTCGAATTTACATTTTTATTGAGTAGTCCGTAGAGTGGTGTTAAATAGAGGTATCGCTGCATTACAATAATTTATTACATATTACATGTAACTGAAGTCTGTTATAATGAAACTTGACTGTAGTAGTGCTCATTCCTTTTAACATACAAAACAATGATTAAAATTTAAAAGCTCAGGAATACCTTTCAAGCTGTTCTGCAGCATGCTCCTTTAATGTTGCATATTTTTGTTTTTCTTTCTCCACAGCTTTTTCATAACTCTTCATTTTTACAAGAAGAGTATCAACATGTTTTTTCATAGAATTTTGTAAATTTTCACATTTCCTGAGAATTAGAAAACATTAATAACAACATACATTTTTATAACGAACAAGGTAATTTACAATGGAGGAGAACAAGCCAATGTGATGTGCTTGGAATTTAAGCAGCAATGTAGAGGATAATAAATAGTCAATTATAAGCAATAAATGACAAATGTAATATTATTAAATAAAAACACCAAGGAAAGTGGAAATGGATAAAGAAATATGAAGATAATAAGTAATGTAATATTTGTATGCAATACGAACTATCCACAAGAAGTGATGTATGCCATAATGTGTCAAAAGCAGAATGAAACCCCCCTACATTGAAGTAAGAAACTGAAATCTTCAGATGTTAATTAAGGTCTACATATTTACTGAAACAATGCATTTCTGATTACTTTAGTTATCCAATATACTTGAAAATATGGTTTAAAACAATTGCATTGTGAGAAATTATTTTTACCTACACAAATAGGAAATATTTTTCAAAACCACGTGAGTGACATATCTGCAACATGTACAAATTTCATAAGCCTAATTTCAATAGATTCTGAGATTTAGACTAAAATATTTAACATTGCCAGGATATGGCATTCTATTCTCACTTAAACTGCTGTTACAAGTTACAGTTACAGTTGCTGTTACAGTTACGAGTAATAAAAGAGATGTAGGAAATTGAAAGAGAGATTAAGAAAAATTAAAAAATTTTTCTTGTATTGTGAAAAATTGGAATGTAATGAAGAAACAGTTCATATTAAAAATCTGCGATTGAATTAGAAATATTCATGTCTCAAAAGAAATACAGGACTGAAATATAATTTTGGTATTAATATTATTAGTTTAAGTTGTTGCTGTTTCTTCATGGGAACTATTAAAAACAAATGACTTTATTTCTTGATTTATTTTGAAGCCCGGAATATCTGATAAATGAAAACAAACACTAATTCTGCCAATTTCAATTGCATTAAATCACATTGTACTTACTGTTGAGCAGCTGAAAGTTCTTGTTCCGTCTCAGCCAAATTCTCTTGACATTCTTTTAGCTCCTTTGTTAATTTCAATTCTTTTTGATTAAATTCTATACAATTTTGTTCTTTTTCAGTTACAAGTTGGGAGAGTAGTTTCTCATATTCTGACAATATAGAACTGAAAGTATAGAAATAAAGTATTACTTCACTTTACATATTGATAGCAACTCATCATAGTAAAGTATTACACCTGCATAAACAAACATTGTGTTTAGTGTCGGTTTCCCAAACAATCAACGGTAAATAGCATACCAACACATTGAAGGAAATGTGTAAATGATATGCATTTATTCAGAGATGTAAGAATGAATCACAAATTATGAATTACCGATTGAAGTATTAACCTTCAAGCACTCATGCAATTAAGTGCTTCACAAGTTATCACATGCGCGATCGCGGGGTGCTATTTTTGCCGCTTACAAACATCCTTCCCTTTTTTCAGTATTACAGCTTCTAAGTTATGGGGAATTTATTAAATAATATCCAAATCATTTAATTTGCACAATAATTAGCATAAGTGGATAATTATGACATTTGTATAACAAAAACATAAAAAAAACATTCTTACTGATTCATCACACTCATGACAAAAAACTGGAATAGACGCGATTGTGTTGCGGAGTTTACACCACATAGAGCAAACACTGATAACATTGGCCACTTTTGAGTGATTTTGGACAAAATGTGAGTGTGTCTTAGAGAAGACAATACCACTGTCTTGTGTCTCAACTGATAACTGGAGAATACCTGGCTTCCCGTCATGCTGAGTTCAAACATCAGTGCGCAGCACAGTTTTATTTTCAAAGGCAGTATTTATATTGCCCGCACAATCGTTTGATGGTTAAACAAAAGGACTGCAATAATTACTCACTCGAATGCTAGTTTCTCCCCTTCCTTCTCCTCCAGCTCTTTCTTATATTGTGAAGCAACTTCACCTTGCCTTGCCAAATCAAAATCTAGAGCCACTATTTGAGACGTGTATTTAGAAATTTCATTCTGGAAATAAAAATACTTCTGTACAGGACTTACTATATAATACACTTATGAAATATTTGTAAAAATGTAGTACATACCTTATGCACTTTGTCATTTGTTTTTATTGTTTCTTGTAACTCAGCTAACTGTGCTTTCAAAGAACTGCATTCTTCTTGGTATTCTTTAAGTTTACGAAGGGTTGAATCATCTTGCAACTCCTTGGCAGCCCATAACGGAGATTTTGATCTGAGGAAACTCTCCACTGAGCCTGCCGAGTTCCTATTACACGTCCCATTCAACATTTCACCTTTTTCCACATTTGCATCAGCATTATTATTTATATTTTCATTTTCACTCCTGAAATAATTTAACACATGCTACATTGTTGAGTATTTATTGACCTCATTATTAGGTTGTGGAATTTGCATATTTGCATTTCCCCCCTCAACCATAACGATATGCATAAAGAACCAAATTTCTTTTCTTGTTTGGAATCAATAAACAAAATCTTTTCAGGCATATTTCAAGTATACAGTGCAATTCAATAGTGGACTACACAGTGGTAGATCTCCTTACATGATGCGAAGTGTTCCCTCATGCTTACGGAGAAAAACAACCCTGAGCTTCCTTAACATATTAGTAAGAGTATATTCATAATATCAACAGTTATGTAGGACCTAAGAATTTTTAATTTGCTTTGCTAACACGGAGTAATAAAAAACAAGAATCTTCACTTTATGAAAATGATGAAGATTAGTATTATTACTAGTAAAATGAGGTGACGCAGACACTTTAAACCGTTTTAAAAATAGTTTCATGTGTACAAAATTTCATTCATACTTAATTTCTTTCATGTTCAGCAGTGTTCAAGTATGTTCTTTCAGTATCTGACATTTGACATACCAATGAATCTGTTAGCTGATAAGGTTATACTCCCGTTCAAAAGTTCTCAATACCCAATCCTTCATATGGGATACAAACTGCTCATATAGCAATTTCAAAATTACGATCCCTATAACAAACATTTGCAGGTTTTCATGCTAATAGTGTGCTAATAATTTGGGTACAGCTACACATTTATGCTCATTTTCTAATATTCACAAAAATGCACATAGCACATTTGCATTAGCACAAATGCTAAATGCAGATCATCCCCAATAAGTTCCGAAAATTCTGTCGCAACATCTTTTACAACTACATTTGATTCATCCGTGAATTTACTTAAAACTTCCATAATTTCCCATAATCTCCCCTAATTTTTAAAGAGATTAAAACTTTACAAACTCACTCTAATTTGTGAAATTCAAGTTCAATAAGTTCCTATTCGTAGATTTTTGCAAATACACGTTTTTAAATACCAGAATTTGAATCTAAAATGAAATCAATCTGCAGCATTATATACTTGGTAATTCAATTGTGCACTTAAAGATGTCAACATCAGTGTTGCCAATGTCATGAAAGAAAATTATGGCGTATTAAGAGAAAAATGCCTTTGAGTACTGGAATTTAATCAATGCCACCTACATAGATCGATTTAGGAGGCGTTAGTTTAATTCCTGGCATTGTTATTAAGTTCGCAGTGCGAATATACTAAAAAACCCATTTTTGGAAATTTCTTTGAGTGTTCTAGCTGGATCCAAAAGCAAACTATCAGTTCCTCATCAAGAGACCAAGTCACGTCGAATGACACGAGGCGGTGCACAAAAAGTGGTTTAGCGACGAGTGATGGAACCTAAAAAACACACATTTGCTCACTCAGAGTTGAAGTCAAATACTATATAGGGATTATTATTCATGCTAGCATAATACGACAAATTTCACACAATGGTATGAAATGCTCTTGGAACAAACTTGGGGAAGCAGTGTTCACAGCCTCTTAGCACTTTCAAAGCTTTGTGCATCTGCTTCATGGATGAACTTCAGCTTTGCAGTTGAGTTAACTTCATCTTGGTCTACTTGCTTACATATTTTATTTTATTATTTTCAGTGCTTTTTATTTACAACTGTTATTTGTGATATGCTTTCTTACTTTGTGATATTGTTTTTGGAGAGGGGAATTTGTGATATCATATTTAGTTATATTATGTGATTTCATTTTGTATTGTTTTAATTCATTTATTTAATTTTAAAGGTGGTTAGTGCATATAAACATGCACTCTAATTATTTTCAGTACTATTTCTTAGACCATGACTTACAGAAGTACAGCACAAAAAGTTACTATACAATAATATACATGAAACTATCATGTCTACAACATTGGATAAACTCACAGGCATACATTAATTTATAATTAGTATACTCCTAATACCAATAACAGAAACTTGGTGTTAATCCTTGAAAAATGAAAATAATGGCTAATTCCCTAAGATCCACATTTTAAATTTAAGCATAAGTAACGATCTGCAAAAATAGATTGCTAAAGAGAAAATTTGTTAACTACATTTCTACAGCTAAAAAAAAAGGTTTCTTTTATGATGGCTCCATACACTTACATTGTAAAATTTGTGTCCTCTGGTTTGAAATATGAATAATTTTGTCTAATAATTTATTTGATGAAGGTCAATGTTTATAAAGATTAGCATTACTACATGTAGGCTGAGTTTTATGTTTTCTTTATTCTTAAAGTTTGGAACTTGGGAGTTTGCTCATCTTCAGATCTATTATAGATTTAACTTTATAGCTATCTTTATATATCTATTTATAGTGATAATAATATTGAATGATAATAAAGATATAACTTTTTAAAGAAATAATAACTTCCTTAAAAAGTTTCCTTGCTCTTTCTTACCTTTCTTCTTCTCTAACAATATTCATTATTGGTAAAGGTTTATCAGAAGCTGTAACTGAACGAGGTGAACCAACAAGAGGGTCAAATTTTATGTACAAAGACTCTTTACGAAGATCACGGAGAGATGTTGTATTTCCAAATTGTGTGAGAAAGTCAAATGTGCTGGGATCCTTGAAAACTGCAAATAAAACAAGTTTATTATTAATACAGTTAATATAAAATATATTACCTGTTGAATCAAGACTCTTTTGGAGGGCATTCTCACATGAAACTACTATAATCTGTTCACCTCTTAATATTTGTGGAAAATAATATGCATTTTTATGTCTTGACTAATCAATAGTGATTTCTGGAACAATAATTATGTTCATACTCTCAACATTATATAAAAAATCTAATAGCCAAGGGGGAAAATTAGTTGAACACTATTTACCTTCATCACCAAACACAAAGTTTGAATCTTGAAACATCTCATTTCCCCCGTTGCTAAAGAACTCATTTGCAGAAGGATCCTGAAACAATTTCATAGGGCAGATGTAGTCAAAAACACACTTCAAAAACTTCCACAAAGTAATATACAGCAGAATCCTGATATTCTGAACTAATTAGGGATGTGGCCTGCTTGAATTATGTTACCAAAAAAATGTATCCTACATAAAGTAGTGCATCTGTAGGATTACCCAACACAAAGCAACTTACTGTGTGATGTGAGAAAATGGCAACACAGCAAAGCGATCACTTCATCAAGCAGATTCAATTCTTCAAGGCAAATGAAGATTATCGATTTGGCAAGTTCCTCTAAGTGAAAATTACTGCTACATAAACAGGTAATATACACCATAGTTACATGTGCGATAAACGTTTCATTTCGACTTGTGTTTCAATAATTAGTTGTGGTTCATTATTTTCTCTATCCCAAATTGTACGATACCGAATTTCAATTCACGGGGTGTTAATGTTATGTAAAAGTCTTAGAGAACTTTCATTGGTTACACTATCATGGAAATAAATAAATAATAAATAATACACCACACAACACACACGCCACACACACACCAGCACACACATACGCACGCGCGCGAGCACACACAACACACTAAACAACATTCAACATTCTAACATTTTTCATTTAAATTCTGACCCACACTTTTCAGTTCCAAAATCACATTTTCCCATGTTTTTATTGCAAATTAACAAAAAGAACCAAATCTTCAATTTTTATGGAGCTGCTCTACCAATAACAAAATGGGATCAAAAATAAGGGTATATTACCTGAAAATTTGATACCTTGCTCAAGCCAAAGTGTGCAATTATCTAATCCAAGAGAAATAAGATTTTTAACTTCACTTAAACTTGAATGGATGAGTGGAAAAACAGTACTAGTCCAGCAAGATCATTCTGAGACAATGCAAGTTATAACTTTTGAATACATATGACAAACACGCTGTCGAGATTTTCTTATTTCAGAAATGTTGCATCAAACCATTCAAATATTACTGAGGAATAATTGTGATAAAAACTTTATTAATGCTCTGCTTTAATTTACAAAAAAACTGTGGACTTGTCCTATTTTTCATCAACGAAGATTTACCAACCAAATTTCTTGAAAAATAATGATATCCCCAAAAAATGATACATTTTAATGTAAGAATGTACATAAGTAATATAGTTTGCGGCCTCTAAATTTCAAGTTTAAACTTTAAGTAGATCTCATATATTATAACCTTGTTATAATATTATTGTATGCATTAATATAAATCTATATTATACCACATATTATAAATATTGTGATTAAATTGCATAGAAAATTAGACTCCCTTTAATTTTATCAAGAAACATTGTTTTAAGGGCCTTGGACACTGTTTCTGTGGTGTGCGTGATTATAACAGGTGTTATAGTTATCTATCTGAGAACTTCAATTTTTTTCATCTCAAATCTGTTGGATTCAGAACTAGGTATAATTTCCTACCCTGTAATAACACAGATCTGTGTCAACGATATCTTATAAACAGTGAAAAAATGTCTTTTTAGCATATTTTATACAGAGAATTTTTTTTTGCATTCATCAATTACAATTTTGTAATCATTACTATATTTAAAAGGCCCTGATTAAATTCCTTATAGCCAGGGTTAATAAAAAACTTTTATCAATTGGAATTTAAAAAATTTAAATTAGATTTTCAAAAGTTATATTTAATATTCACATTAGTTTGTTGTTTTTTTTTTAACTTGAAGAGCCCGGTAGCACAATGGGGCTATTCCACGTTGACATAGTTCTGAGATATAAATAAGCCATTTTGAGGATTATAATTAACCAGTTTATAGAAATCACAAAATCTTTTTTATCATTTGAAAATGTTGCCAATGTACACTATTCTCCTTTGCAAGGGTTAATGTCAACGTGCACTGTCTGCCAAAAATTGTTGTTTTTTTAAATATATTAAGGCACTGTTCCTTGCCTTCTTTCTAATACTTTATTTTTATTTTTCTGGATATATTTTCCTTTTATTTAACCTTCAAATATTTAATTATTCTTGGCAAAATTTACAATTAATTATATTTTTGATTTAAATCTATGAATTTTTTTGGTGAATCATATGTTTTAAATCGATGACACAAATCACTATTTAAATCTTTGAAACCCTGGTTATAGCCATATTCTAGAGGACGCTATTAGGAGGGTGCTAAATCCTACTGACACTGAAGATGTCTGCTGCAAGTGTATGCAAAATGTCTAGAACAATTATTTCAACTGGACCATGGCCTACAAGCTTTGACAGCTATGTTGATGCCTGCTTTAAAAACCTTCATTAAAGGCCAATTTTCCAACACACATTCCTAAATATTCCCTCTTTTAAGCATAGACCTACTCCATGGACATCAGTAGAGAGCGAATTTCTATGAATTTGCATATTCTTGTCAGTTGCTTCAGGGTATAGCTAAGTGAAATTTCTTGGTATTTGGATAGAAATGAATACTATGTAGATTAATATGTTAGGGGCATATTTGGCAGTTTTTTTTGGTTGGGGCATATTCATGTAATTATAAGTGCAGATTTTGTTAAAGTTAAGTCTTATTTCTAAAAGGTTTGAACTTTTCATATGATCTATTAATTTTTGTGAACATTCATCGATTACAAAGAGCTTGTCACAGTTTGCATTTTTTTTTCCTTTTCTGTAAATGTGCAAATGTAGGAAATTTTTTGATATCATATTATTTTTTTAAAACCATGAAGAAGAAATGCAACAAGACAGACAATTACTTCAGTAGTGAAAATTTACTTTCTTTATTTCTCCTATGAACAGTTTATGTTATGTTTACACAAAAATATATCTTTTCAATCCAAGCACACTTCTCCTGAATTTTATGAAGAAAGGTGTATACAGAAAATTAAATATTTCTAATTTTAATTGCATATTAAAGCATAATTATTACTTCCGAATTTTCAGGTCATAATGCACATTTCAAAATTTTTTTAGAGCATAAAAAACCTCTGTCTCTAAGTCATCTGTTAGACATTTTGCAGATTAATCTGTATTATTCACTTTACTCTAGATTCAACTACCCTCGGCACTGGTTCCACCAAATAACAGATACTTCAGAATAGATGATATTCATGCATGCTCTGAAGTTTGCACTCTTGAGTCTAGGAATGGAGAGAAACTGATATAATGTGGAATTAGCAATGATTTGAATGTTTTGATATGAACTCATTGAAAGTGGGGAAAAATGTTCAGAGGTTCTGAATCAATACGTGTAGAATAAAACCATGTTAGAAAGGAAGCGTACACTACTTTGCAACAACAGATTTTGCTTACGATTTCTCACATTCTCCATCACACCTATTTCTATTGAAATCTGGTCTCTGACCACTGGTACCACTTAAAAGACATGCTTCATTCTTTTTTTTTTAAGTCCAGATTCTCTTAACCGATATAATTCTCACAATATGTTTTTGTTTTCTCCATAAGCACAAACCTCAATCATTTCTATTATAATAACAAAATCATCAGTGTATTACAGAAGCATTACAATCTTACCAGAAAATCTATTGTAGCTGTTGACGGCTCTTCTGAGTTAGGTTTTTGAGAAGGAATAACCTCAACAGCAGGACATATGCCATCGAGATTCCTTTGGATTTCTGAATTAATGTCATTTGATTTTACATTCTGATGTCTGTTTTCCTGAGGATTCTTCACACAACTAGTATTTTCTCTCTACAAAAAACAATACAACTGTACACAACTTCAAATAGGAAATAATTCAATTAATAACACAATTTACTTGTTTCTAAAAGTAATTAAAAAATCAGTTTAAAATTATGTATTAATAAACTGTTTTTAGATGTATACTGAATTTTCTTTAGTATGTACTTTGTATGTTATTAGTTGCAATAATGTTTCTAATTTTCTACAATTTCAGCAGGTCCTAAGATATTTGCAGATGTTGAAAATAAAAATATATCCATTTGTAACATTTTTGTCATTCGAGTTCTAATAATATAAAGACCTGCTTTACTGATTTAAACAACTGAAGCTCAACAATTAACATACCTTTTCACTAACATTCTCCAATGATGCACTCTTGGCCATTAATTCTTTTATTTGATCATCTAAAGTGGTTGTTCCTACATTTTTAGGTGTCATCTGAATGCACATGAATTCACTCTCTGAAGTTTTTGATTCTTTTTTAACATAAGGAATATTTATTTCCTCAGAAGCACTTACACTGGATAATTTTTCAATTCTGTTCAAATCACCATTTGTTCTGTCCAAGTTAGTAATACTGAAATTATTGAGATTTGCATCAAATTCAATTGATCCACGTTTCTGTTCATGAATATTCTCAATTCCATTACTCTTCTTGAAACGGCCGGACTCACTCTGAACGTCTGCATACGGATTCGATGTTTTGGTTGCAGGGTTCTGACTGAAAATTGCATGTGAAAGAATATCAGAAGATTGTTTAGACCCATCTACAATACCAGAGGGGGTAAAAGAATGCACATCATTTGATGATGATATGCATTCAGACTTCAATTCACTCAGATTTGTGCTAACATTATCTTTCTCATCTGAATCAGGAATCTTGGAAATCTCTTGCGTGTTTTCAAGATTATTGGCTAAATTTAACTTCATTTTTTCAATTGCCGATGTTTGATTTGTTGTCTTAATAACTACCTTCTGTGAATCTTGCAATACACCAGCATTCAAAATATCCCTCTCTGTCAAAATACTTTCTTCACACTGATCGTTTACAAATGACTTGTCATGAATTATTTGTTTTTTGTGCACAACAGTATCCTTAAAAGAACCATTATTCACATTTAAATTATCAGTCATTCCTTTTGGCAACAACTCACCAGATTGGGAAATTTCTATTCTGTGATCATTTGGTGATGCTACCTTCGTTAGTGACTCGTGAAGAAAAGTTGAGTTCAAATCAGTCCTCATTCCAGCAGCATCCTTTGTCAGTACATCGCCTTCAGATACCAAGACTGTTGATGAGATCATCTGATTTTCTATATTTTTCCCTGTAATGGAAGTGGTGCCTTGAGTGGTTTCAGAGTCTAACACTTCAAATGGCAGTTCACTGGCGGTAACAAAAGTGGAGTTCAGGTCTGTCTTCAATAAACTCTTTTCCCTTGGTACATCACAATTTTCACGAACAAAAACTTCAGATGAAATATTCTGAACTTCAACAGCTCCCTTCGAATCAGACAATTCTTTAAAAGTAGCAGTTTGCTCTGCTCCAGTTTCTGAAATATTTAATGCTTGTTCACTGTAAGTATCAAATGTCAAGTTGAGATCAATCTTTGTTACACTGGGCACCTCTGAAAATTCTTTTCTTTGATGGACAAAATCATCTGATCTAATATTTGGGTCTTCCATAACTCTTTCTACAGTAGATTCTGTGGAAGAAGTCTTCTCAACATTTTGTACTTCTACTACTTCTTGACATACTGGAGGAAAAGTTGAAGCTACATCAGCCTGACTAGTTAGGTTCATTTCACAATTTTGCGAAGTCAGGTGTTGAGAGGTATCTGGACATGGTTTCTCTATTTTGTCCGGCACAGTAGGTCCTGCAAAAGTGGAATCCAGAACAGTTTCTGTAAAAGAGAAAGTAGAATTAAGTTCCCTGTTTTCAGATACTACAATCATAGCATTAATCTCTGACTCTTCTGTATCCATTATAGTATTTATCATTGGTTCTACTACTATATCTGTTGTGGTATTCATCTCTGATTCTACTATATCCATTGTGATATTCTTATCTGGTTCCACATCCATAGTGGTATGCTTATCTGGTTTTACTATATCCATTGTAGTATTCATCTCTGTTTCTACTATATCCAATGCGGAATTCAAATCTGATTCTACTATATCCATTGTGGTATTCTTTTCTGGCTCTGCTGTATCCAATGGGGTATTCATATCTGGTTCTATTGTATCCAAAGTGGTATTCATCACTGGTTTTACTACATCCAATGTGGTATTCACCTCTGGTTCTACTATATCCAATGTACTCATTTCTGATTCAATTATTTCCATCGTGGTATTCTCTGGTTGAACTGTATCCAATGGGGTATTCCTCTCTGGTTCTACTGAATCCAAAGTGGTATTCATCCTTGGTTTCACTATATCCAATTTGGTGGTATTCTCTGATTCTCTGATTCAACTATTCTTATCTGTGGTATTCTCGTGTTGAACTGTATCCAAGTGGGTATTCCTTCTCTGGTCTACTGAATCCAAACGGTGGTATTCATCCTCTGGATCTACTGAAATCCAAGGGGTATTCATCCTGGATCTACTGATCAACGGGGTATTCATCCTGATCTAACTGAATCCAACGGGGTATTCATGCCCTGGATCTACTGATCCAACGGGGTATTCATCCCTGGATCTACTGAATCCAACGGGGGTATTCATCCTGGAATCTACTGATCCAACGGGGTATTCATCCCCTGATCTACTGGAATCCAACGGGATTCAATCAACTGGATCTACTGAATCCATACGGGATTCACCCTGGATCTACTGAATCCAACGGGGTATCATCCCTGGATCTACTGATCCAACGGGTATTCATCCCTGGATCTACTGAATCCACGGGGTATTCATCCTGATCTACTGAATCCAACGGGGTATTCACATTCATCTGGTTCTACTATACTCCAATGTATTCATTTCTGGTTCACTATATCCACTGTATTCATTTCTGATTCAACTATATCCAATGGTGTATTCCTCTCTGGTTCTACTAATCCAAAGTGTATTCATCCTTGTTTCACTATATCCATTGTAGTATTTATTTCTGATTAACTATATCTATTGGTATTCTCTGGTTCTACTGTACCAATGTGTATTCATCTCTGATCTACTTACTCATTGCAGCATTATCTCTGACTTGATTATATTGTCTGAAACATTTTTTAGTAAAATTAATATTCAAATTAGTTTGTGCTACTATTTTTGTTGCAAGGTTTCTTCCTGTATTCATAGAATTTAGAGTTTCACTAGAATAATTCTCTCAAATGGTTCTTTGAGATTTCTAAGTTTCTTATCAACATAGGAATCTCATCTATTTTGCCAAGATACTCTGTTAAAAGAAACATTTTGCTGCTGTCTCACAGTTCTAGAAAGAAAAAAAGCGCAAATTTTTCTTCTTCTTTCCATGTCTAGCATTTTCAATGTAAGTTTGATTCAAAGATGAATCAAAAAGATTTCATTTAGTACAATATTCCTGTGATCTACTTGTATAACTCCTCATGCATTGCCATATTAAAAAGCAAGAATTACCTTCAAGCAATAGGATTTGTAAATGAATGTTTCTTCTACATCAGCTTTCGATATTCATGTGATAAAACAGATTCCAAATTTCAGAGCTTGTTTTTCTGTACTATTGTCTTCTGGTGCATATTGGTCTCTTTCAATACCTCCACTGAAAAGATCCACATGATTCACTTTTGACAACATGAGGAATCATATCTGTGTGGCCATTGTTCACACCGCTAACAAAAGTAAAACTGCAATTTGAATGATGTGTTAATACTTTTTCTGTAAGTTTTTCTAGATGTGATGCTTTTCCTTTCAACGTTGTCATCAAGGACTCTTCCATAAAGAATCATTACAAACATTCTGAACACTGTTTTTCCCAATGCAAATTTTTGTCAGAATCAACTAACCCAATAGCTCCAACCATTTTTATCATTCAATCTCTCACGAATTCACAATTTCAGATGACAGGTTTTTAGACTCTTGCAGTAAAGTACCATTATGAACACCCTGAACCCTGTCTTCCTCAACACCTTCTTGCAAGATTGTTAATATCCACGCATTATTACACAGTAAATTTATAATTAAATTTTATTTTTATATTATATATTTTTTATTTTATATTAGGCTCATTGACTTTTGAAAATTCACAGGATAGTGAGATGCCAGTTTTGGCAAGGGTTTCTATTCTCAGCTATCCTTTTTCCAGTGCATTCAACTTCAATAAAGGAAGTATTCAGAATGGTTCTTACTCATGTCTTCCTGATGCATGAGATTCAATAAAAGAGTATTTAGAACCGTTTCCACAATCAATGTAATCTGTGACGCATTCAGTATCTCAGCAAGTTCCTTAGCTGCCGCTCCAAGAGAATTATTGAGACCTGATCCACAAACCTATATTTTCTCAGCAATTTCTTGAAAATTTTCAATTTCATGAATGGTCAGCTTCTTTTATAGAGTTTGGAACACCTCATTTCCCTCTTGGAAGAACATTTCATTGCAGAAGCTTTGAGCTTCTTTTTCATTACAGTGTTCAGTACTTGGAAGATATGTCTGTCCTTTACTTACAGAAGCCATTTCATTAGTATTACTTTAAAATCAGAGAAGGCCTCATTTTGTAATCAAAATTTCTCGAACAGTCACGTTTTCATATCTTTTAAATTGTTGGATTCTTGTAACGAAGTATCAGACAGAATCTCCTGCATTTTTGCGATACTTCCTGCAGCACAGTATTCTGATTCAGTACAATCTAGATGAGCTTTAACTGTAATTTCTTGGACTGAACCTTTTGCACAGGATTCCTTCACAGAAGCACTTACACCACTAACACTGGTTAACATAGAGCTTGAATCACTGCAGTGGATACTTCTTGTATATAATGGTGATTCTTCTGTTGCCTTTAAAAGATCACTTTCAGTAAACGTTGAGTTGAGGACAGCTCTGGCAGATGATTTCTCTAACTCTTCTTTAGGATTTACGTTCTTTAGCTCTCCATCTGAATCACTTTCTGCCAAACCAGTAAAAGAATCATTGAGAATATTTTGCACAACATTCTCATCTAATTTATCAATGTCTGAAGCCTTCAATTCTGAACTGGTGACACAATTTGGTGATAGGATCTGATTCGCGATTTCCACTGCGCTAATGCAACCGTTATCTTCTGGATCTTCTACTACATTACTCCTTTCCATTTTCTTTTCGTTTGCACCTTGAGTTTCCTCATTATAATTACTCATTCTTCGGGCAGGAATAAGCAACAACTCTCCCTCTTTTCCTGGAAATGTGCTTGGGGTTATGTAAACTGGAAGAGCGACTGTGGGAGATCCTTCAACGCTTGATGCATCTTGAAGTCTTGCAAAATGGACAGAAGCAATATCATCCACCTAATAACATAAATATTGGATTAGTTATCAAATACATTAAGAACAAGTTATTACATAACAGAAATAACATTCAAAGAATACATTTTAAACCTTAGACTCTGTTTGGGGCCTTTTTTGACCCCAGGCACAAATAATGTTTTGCAACACTGAAAATTATTCACATGAACTTCTCCTTTTGGATAAGCTAATTATGCAGTTTTACATGTATTGTAAACTTTTCAGTTTTTGAAGTTTTCTTGTTTTGAAGTAATTTGCTTTTTATGCAGCTGGGGTCAAGAATGCTCTCAAATAGATTTCACGTTACACGTCTAAATTGCACGAAAAATTGTAAAAACCTGTTTATTTCCATTTTATTACATTATGTTGTTTCTGAATGAAAATCTGGCATATTTGTCTATTACGAGTTGATAGATTTATATCAGATATTTTCATGCTGATATGGAAGACACCTATGTCTAGTTATTTATTTAATGGGGTGAGCCCTTTACAAAAATTAATACATAGTATAATGATACAAAAATAATTAGATAATAAAAGAAAAAAAGAAAAGAAAAAAAAACAAGTCATACTACATCACGTACAATACAATATAATGGATCAGATACAGACAAGGCTTTTTTCAAGCAAGCTTTAAAGCGCATTTAGTTACACTCAAAGAAGTCTAAAATGTTAAAAAAGAATCATTTGTAAGTTTACAGATTCTTTAATGATATTGTTCGTGGCGTAATTGAATCCACACAATTTAGTGCAATACAATATTTTATTTGAAGTAAATCTCTTCAGAGACCTGAAAAAAAAATTAGATAAAATTTCACTACAATCAATTTGGTTGTTAATGACATTGTACAAACATAACAAGCCATTATAGTCTCTTCTGTAGGATAATGAAGATACATGGAACATTTTGTGGGCTCGAGTAGTCACGGAAGAACATAGACATAATGTGTTGTTTATATACGCAACCTGACGAAGGAATCTGTTCTGAACTCTCTCAATATTATCAACACGATATTGTGTACAAGGGAACAAGATCATGGACGCATATTCCAAAAGAGAATGAAATAAAAATACAAGATCTTGAAGGTTTTAATGTGTTAAAGTCACGAGTGTTTCTCATAATTAAACTCCAGAGTTCTCATTGCATTTTTGGCAGTCATCGAAACTATGTTAATCAAAATTCAGTTTGCTGTCAAATATTACTTCAAGATCTTTGACGTTATCAACAATTGTCAATGGACAATCGTTCAAGGAATACTGATAATGTATAGGATTTCTAAGATGAGAAAAAGTTATGGTAAAACATTTATCTGTGTGTAGTTGCATCGCATTAGCAGTGCACCACACATTCAAAATATCGAGATCTTCCTGCAAATGCTGAATGTTGTTCACATCTGCGATTCTCGAGTACATCTTGGTGTCATCAGCATATAATAAGGTACGACTATTCAAAATGACGGATGGTAAGTCCTCAATAAATATAATGAAGAGAATAGGCCACAAATGACAACCCTGAGAAACCTTGACACTATCAGAAAAGTCTCTGAACAAAATCCATTACAGACACACACTGTGTTCTACCAGTCAAATAAGAACTTATCCAAGACAGAAGAGGTTCACCCACACCCATCCTGGACAATTTGCAAGTCAAAATGGTATGATTAACTCTGTTGAAGGCTTTAATAAAGTCAGAATAAATTGTGTCTACTTGGTATCCATCCTCAAATGCATCTGCAATAAAACT